TCATGAACTAGCTGGGACAAGGGCAGATTCATCAATCTAGACGGCTTGAGTGCCCTAACTGTTCCACGAATCGATTATCTACAAGATTCATACGTAACACGTTAATCGGCGTTTTATGTTCATGAACCAGCTGGGGCAAGGGCAGATTCATTAATCTAGACGGCTTGAGTGCCCCAGTTGTTCCACGAATCGATTTATCTGAACAGTAGTCATAAATTCATTTTGTTTATGATTAAATCAGATCCCTAATTCTAATCGACTGATTAAGTCTGCCGTCTCACGTAAGCTTGACATTTTGTCATAACTGTTGATTTTCCTAATTATATACTCATATAACAAACAATACGAGAAATAATGTGAGAGCATATAAAATTTTCATTCACAAATTGGGCACTAGCAGTGGACATTTTACATATGAAAATCCAAAAAACACGGAAGTCAACTAACAAAAAGCATACATTGCAATTGAGTAAAGCCTAACAAATCTAGAATGTCACCCAAATCAAGTCTCAAGATCAGACTCAAGCGGCTCAACGTCCACTTGCTCGTATGGAATTGGCATGGCCAATGTAACTTTAGTGGCAGCAAGGACTTTGAGTCAATCGTGTCTGAATCCCCGATTCTCAAATTTGGGGACCTCTTCTACGTAGTCAGCAAAAGCGGCGCTCTTCCCAGCCTCGAACGCCGCGGAAGCCTCAGATTCGGCTTTTTTTTTTTGCTTGCTTCAACCCTTCCAACTCGGCCTCCAGTTTTGCAAGCGCCTCTTTGGCTAACTTGAGCGATTCCTTGCTCGCGTTTGCCCTCTCCTCGGCGTCAGACCTGAGTTGATCAGCAGTCGTGGCCATTTCCTTCTCAGCCTTCGCCCGTGCACTTTCCATTGCGGCCCTTATTGCCTCAAACTCCGCCCTGCTCCTTTGGCCATCAACTTTCGATTGCAAACGGCCAATCCTTTCAACAGCGTCACGCTGGCGTCGGCCTAATTCGGCGATCCTTCCAATTATCTGCAAAACAAAGGATCGTCACATTCCAAGAAACATCGAATGTAAACCAAAAGATCATCACGTTCCAAGGATAAACACTTACCAAAAAGGCCGATTGAGCAGCTAATGCTACCGTTGCCAAGTCCGGCTCGGCACGAAAGGTCGCTATGTCAGCCAGTAAGGAGACCGCGGCAGCCAAGCTCAATGCCATAGCTAGATCTTTCAAAGCCTACACTTCGGAGGAGATCGACATGGTTTTTATCTTTGGTTCAATGATGAAAGGAGCAACCACAATCGACTTCTCTAAGCGTGGCCGCTTATCAATAGGGCCATTTTCGGAGCCGCCCTTGTCCTCGGCGCTTCTTTTTTCGCCTCGATCCTCTAAAATAAACAGCTCTTCTGTAATCAGGCGCTCGACATCCTTTTCCGTCTCGGCGACGACAACCTGGCCCGATTCCTCTACAACAGTAGGTTGAACAGATTCAGTTGGACAAATCCGGAACGGATGGCCTCGGTCTTTTTCAGGCAGCCATGCATTCGGCGTTCCTCTTCCGTGCCATCTGCGGAAGATTTTCCCCAGCCATATCTTCAAAGTAATCGCCGAGAAGGTCTCCTAAGTTCGAAAAAATATCTTCGAAGGCATCCCCTCGACCTGATGTAGACGGAGGGTCAGAATAGCTCAATCTGGCTTCCTCAAAGGCCCAATTAATCGCTTCGTCAACTTTCACGGCTGACCGGTCTGAATCCTCAGCGATTAGTTCGGCCACTTATTCTTCCGTGTGTTCAGAATCAGATGACTCTAAACCGATCTACCTCAAGTTTTTGAAGCTGGGGAAGATGAGGGCAGCAAGTTGATTGTCGCCTTGCGCGATCGGAATGTTGTCTGCCGCCGAGAACGTTGCAGCCATGCATTCGGCGTTCCTCTTCCGTGCCATCTGCGGAAGATTTTCCCCAGCCATATCTTCAAAGTAATCGCCGAGAAGGTCTCCTAAGTTCGAAAAAATATCTTCGAAGGCATCCCCTCGACCTGATGTAGACGGAGGGTCAGAATAGCTCAATCTGGCTTCCTCAAAGGCCCAATTAATCGCTTCGTCAACTTTCACGGCTGACCGGTCTGAATCCTCGGCGATTAGTTCGGCCACTTATTCTTCCGTGTGTTCAGAATCAGATGACTCTAAACCGATCTACCTCAAGTTTTTGAAGCTGGGAAAGATGAGGGCAGCAAGTTGATTGTCGCCTTGCGCGATCGGAATGTTGTCTGCCGTCGAGAACGTTGTGTAAGTCAGCTCGTACTGCAGGAGAATGTGGGCTGCCCTCCTTTGTTTTCGAAGGTTTGGACGACCGACGAACTGTAGTGCGGTTTTGATTTCTGCGAGCACGACGTCGTCGTCTGAAACCAACACTTTCTTCAAATCCCTGCCTGCACAAAACAAAACAATAAGATGAACATAGTGCCGAATACATATACATGCAAATATGAAGCCCAAAGTGATCTAATCGGCCACCTGGTTCGCCTTTTTTCCTCGACACCGGGTCTAGACGATCTTCACCTTCGCCGAACTCCCAGTTGCCGCGAACAACGACCATCACGTCGTCGACACACTTGCCAGAACTGGCGAGCATAGTCACTATGTGATGATCAGTATCCTTAGTTCTAAGAAAGTAACGCCCTAGCCGGCCAGTAGATTTGGTAAGGGCGTAACAGTGCCGAATGGCAGGAATACCTAAATTGGTCCTAAGATGACGATTTAGTTCTACGATCCCCATTATGATACGAAAGAAATTGACGTTGGGCTGGGAGGGGATCAGACCCCAGTATCTAAGAACGACCCTCAAAAGTGGGTGAAGAGGAAAGCGAACTTCGCCCTCAACAATTGATAAGAAAGTAAAGACGATTGTGCTCTCATTTTCCCTCTGCATATCAGTGATGCTGTCTGCCAAAAGTGACAAATGGACATCATCAGGGATGGAGAAATGGCGTCGAAAGCCAGAGATTCGATCCGCCGAAAGGAGCTCTTTTAGATGTTTTGCCATTCTTTTTAAGCCAAACCCAAGGATTACGGAAAGTTAAAAGCCAATAAGGAAGCGGGATCAAAAATGAAGAAGAAGAAGACTTACAGGTGAAAAAGCGAGAAACGAGTTGTAGAAGTCGCGAAGAGATAGAGTTGCACTAGAGGGCGAGCAAGATATTTTTTGAACATTCATGACATACACTCGAAGAGGCCATTTCAAATCATATTAAATGGAAGCAATGTACGAAGGGGCGGGAAAGCGTTACGATGACTAAGAAGCGTATGCGCATTCTGACACGCATTGGGAAGAGGGTTAACCGCTGAATTTTTGACTTCTTAGGATAAAAGCCAAACACACCGACTAACTGATGATAGCAGGGTGCTTGAGAGGCAATTGTGGGAGCCTGATTTTATTAGATCCATAGGGACGGATGAACGTGTCCGGTCAGAAACGTAACCTGTATTCGGCATATACCCCAGCCAGTTAAGGAGCCGAATAAAATAATCAGTATCCCAGCCAATAGAACTGACGCCAAGTAGAGGTATATGTGACGGAACAAGGATGGACCCAGCCCAAAGGCCCAAAGAAAATACTATAAATATGGGATCATTCATCAGAGAGAGACATGTGAGAATTGTTGTGCTAAATTTAGAATATAAGTAATCTTGAACGTAAAGACTGACTGGTCCGTCGGAGTGCTAATTCCGGCATCCCCGACCGGAGTGTTTATTCATTTTCAGGTGACTATCAGCGGATCACGAGCGTCCCCTAAGATCAAAAGAGTATTTTCAAACCACTTCTCCATAATATTATATTATATTAGATAGACAAGAGAATAAATTGGACTTTTTAAATCATATCCAAACCTATGAAATATTATATAATAGGGGATGGTGGTATTATATATTCTCCAATTTTAAAAATATACAATCTCATAATATATTATATACTCTTTAAATTTTTTTTGCAAACATAAGATATATAAACCCTATATTATATAATATCCAATTCCCCTATTTATATCTCACCTTTTATGTAGCCTAAGTTTCTCCGCGGAGCCAAACAAATGTGGCTTGAACCATCTTAAGAAACTGACAGATTCATTAGTCCTCTGCTTTTACGTCTCTACTGTATATTGGGGGTTAAGAAACTGACAGATTCATTAGAGTCCTCTGCTTTTACGTCTCTGCTATATATTGGGGGTGTTTGGAAAGAGAAAAAATAACTTAGTTTAGGTTAAAATTTACAAAATATTAAAATAAATTAAAATAGTTAATAAAATAAAATATTACATTAAATTCATAATCATTTATTTTTTTTCTCACAAATATCACATTTAACCACAAAAAAATAAAAAATGCTAGAGGTCCTAAATTTTCTACCAAACAAATGACCAAATGTTTCACATGGGTGTGGGGTCCACAAAATTGCGGACCCCACATCTATGTGAGACATTTGGTCATTTGTTTGGTAGAAAATTTGGTATCCCTAACATTACCCAAAAAAAAATGAAAATGCTAGAGGTCCTAAATTTTCTACCAAATAAATGACCAAATGTCTCACATGGGTGTGGGGTCCACAAAATTGCGGACCTCACACCCATGTGAGACATTTGGTCATTTGTTTGGTAGAAAATTTGGTATCCCTAACATTATCCCAAAAAAAGGAAAATGCTAGAAGTCCCAAATTTTCTACCAAAAAAAGGAAAATGCTAGAAGTCCCAAATTTTCTACCAAATAAATGACCAAATGTCTCACATGGTGTGGGGTCCACAAAATTGCGGACCCCATACCATGTGAGACATTTGGTCATTTATTTGGTAGAAAATTTGGTATTCCTAAAATAAAGAGTACGAATTTTTGAAGGAGCTCAACATAAAAATTTTACCAAATATAAAAATTTTAACCTATTAAAATAGGTAAAAATTAAAATAACCTACCAAAATAGCAATTTCCCAAACGAAGCTATTATTGTATGCAATAATTATAATTCCCACTCTCCTCTCTCTTTTTCTCTCTCTCCGTTCCACCTCCAAGTTCACTTTACAACTTCGTATACCCAGAGATGAGTTTTTCAAAGAAAGAGTACGAATTTCTGAAGGAGATAGGCGTTGGCCCTAACAACCTCGGATGTTACGTCAATGGCGCTTGGAAGGCAAGCGGTCCTGTCGTTACCTCTATCAATCCCGCCAACAATCAGGTTTGCAATTACATTTTTCCAATTACTTTCAACAATTTGCGATTTCTTTTGTTATTTGATTTTGTGCATTTCGATCGTCTGTATGTTAATTGTTTCATTGTTAAATTATCAAATTGATTGATTGATCTAAAATTGAGAGATGATCCCTGTGTGAAATCAGCTCGCAGATCGTATGTAGTTTTTTTGTTTGTTACTCAACATTAGAAATTGAAGTTTGAGGCTACAATAAAAGTATTATGTTGCGATTGTTCAAGCTTGAAGTGATTTTCTAGATATATTCAAGTGTTGAATTCCGTTTTTGTACAAATTTAAGTTCGGCTCCATTTGTTTCAACCTAAAATATTTTACACAGAAAAATGTTTTTGTTTTTGTTTTTATTTTTTGGCGCTTGGTTAACACATGAAACAAAAATGTTTTAATGGCTAAAAGAGAAATTTTGATTTAATAAAATATTATTTATGAATTTTTAGTGAACTAAGATATTTATTTGAAAAAACTAAATGTGTTGAAAAGGCAGTGAGTGGGAGTCAGTTTGTAAAATTGCCTTATAAAATTTTCAAAAGCAAGTCATTTAAAAAAAATATATATTTTAAATGTTTTACTTGCTTTTTGTTCAACCAAAAAACGAAAAATGTGTAAAATATTTTTGATAAAAACATTTTATGTCAAAACAAACAGAGCCTTAGCGTGTGTCTCTCATGTTGATTTGTGTGAAATCAGCTCGCAGATTGTATATAGGTTTTTTGTTTGTTGCTTTTTCTTACGGTTTTTACCTTAACTAAGCTGAAAATTGCTAGTGCTTGTCACTACATTAGAAATTGAAGTTTGAGGCTACAATACAAGTATTATGTTGCGATTGTTCATGCTTGAAGTGATTTTCTAGATACATCAGGTGTTGGATTGTGATTGTTTGTAAAAATTTGACATAGTGTGCATCTCTCATGTTGTTTTAGGTTATTGCTGAAGTTTCTGAAGCTTCCACTCAAGATTATGAGGAAGCCATGAAAGCTTGCTCTGAAGCCGCAAATATGTGGATGCAAGTGAGTTTGTCAATTCACCGTCGCAATTCAAATTGTTTATTTTTTGGAATTTTCTTGTGATTTTTTTTTAATTGTAAGATTTACTGATCTTAAAAGTGTGAAATAGATTCATATGGTACTGTATGTATCCAGTGAAAAAAATATTCACATTTTCCCCTTTTTGTCAGATTCCCGCACCAAAGAGAGGGGAGATTGTTAGACAGATTGGTGATGCACTGAGAGCCAAACTTCAGCAACTTGGTCGGCTTGTATCACTTGAAATGGGAAAAATACTTCCTGAAGGAATTGGGGAGGTTCAGGTGTGCTATTTTACTTGTAATGTTATGTGAAATAGTTTATCAGTGGTTGATCATCAGCTAATATTGTATTAGCTAAATGAAGGCCATTAGATAGGGAAATTCGATTCCATATACTTCTTTTAGTGATGCAATTGCTTGTAGATAAACCCCTGCTTGTATTTATGTATTATGCGATATCATCACCTTTCATTGAATTTCTTGAAATTGGTTTATGTAAAGAGTGAAGCATGCCTGTTTATAATTAAGAAGCATTCTTACTGCAGGAAATTATTGACATGTGTGATTTTGCTGTGGGGTTAAGCCGGCAACTCAACGGATCAATCATACCTTCAGAACGTGAGCTCAAATATTATTAATCCCCATGTTTGAATATATAAATTAGAAACAAATGCCATCTTCCTTTGGTGGTTCTGAAGTTCTTCGAGTTTTTTGTTTATTATTTTTTGTGTGTTTCCGTAATATACATATATTTAAATTTATTTGTTTTAGTTCAACCAAAAGGGGGTGACCATGGTTTAATGGTAAAACCTTGGCCTAATAATCTTGAGGTTATGGGTTCAAGTCACGGGGCAACCACTTTGTGAATTATGCCAAAGTTTAGGTGTGAACCCAATCTTTTCTCTCCCAAACACACATTAATGTGTACTAATTGACCTTTTTTTTTTTTTTTTTTCCAGTTCAACCAGAATGTGAAGCTTTGCTAGATTATTCTGTCTGAACAATAAACTGATATTTGAAGTTCTTTTCTTCAGTCCTACAGAAATTTATACTGAAATTATGGTTGTTACTTTGTTAACAGGTCCAAATCATGTGATGCTGGAGGTGCGCTGAGTTTTAATATTTTGGAACTTCTGAAAGAATGTATAGACCCATAACAGTTTTTAATGTTTTTCACACTCTTGTTCACAGATGTGGAACCCTCTTGGAATAGTGGGTGTAATTACAGCTTTCAATTTTCCATGTGCTGTTCTTGGTAAGCTTTATTCCCTTTCTTAATTAATTGTCATTTAGTTTTGTGCTGGGTTGCTTCATTTTCTTGTGAAAATGAGATCATAAAAGGTGTCATTGTTTGGGTCTTGATTACTATGGGACCCCCAATAGGGTGGTTTAACTTGTGGAACCCTATCCAGTGGGTTCTTAACCCACTAAGGTGAAGAATAAAGGTCACTGAAACATTTTATCCTAGCTTGAGCATAATCACTGATATACCTCAAATGGTACTCCAGAGCAAGCAAGGTAGGATCATAATTCTGCATGCTATAGGAGACAATACATTTTCTTGGACGCATTTTTCTTTCTGTAACACAAAAAATGCTTCTTCATACCAATATAAGTTGAGTGTCTTCATGAGGGGAGTGTTTATTTATGGCTGAATATCGCTTTGCAGCTTAACAATTGAGAACAAGGATCCACATCTCTCTAATAAAAACATTTTATGACAAATATATACATAGACATATCTTATAGGAACATAAACAGTTATGCCATTGTTTAGATTTTGTAGAGTTTGTGTATGATGCTCTGTTTCAGTGCTGAAGTGTGATGCTTATGTTTGTCATCACTAATTGTAGAAATCTGCCTTTCTTCAAGCCTGTGAGTGTTTTCCTATAGTATGGCACATATTTTAAGGAATTTAATCTTTGGCATTCATGAAATATAGTCGAACTTTGTTTAACCAATAAACTTTCGCATAATAATTTTTTATTTTGGTTTATCTTTCATGATGTCAAATATTGTCACCAATTTATTTTGTCTTGCAATAATTGATTAAATTGTATTTCACCTTTCTATGTTTTGACTTTTATGTGTAATGGGGTTTTTAGGGTGGAATGCTTGCATTGCTCTAGTCTGTGGTAATTGTGTAGTTTGGTAAGTCCATAACCATGACTATTTAATTGTGTCAAAATGTACTACCTGCAATGGGGGTTGCAATGTTTTCTGCTCTTTTCTTTCTAGGATGAGTTTTTCTTTTCCTTCACACATAAAATCAAGTTCTTATAGTCATCGAGTGATCCCTTAGATTGAAGCAAGTTTTAATTCCTGTGTTACCTTGGATTAGTTGTTTACTGCTTGTACTTTTGTTACTTTGTGATGAATTATAGGAAAGGCGCTCCAACAACACCTTTAATTACCATTGCAATGACAAAGATAATTGCTGGGGTTCTAGAAAAGAATAATTTACCAGGTGCCATTTTTACTTCTTTTTGCGGTGGTGCTGAAATTGGTCATGCTATAGCAAATGATACTCGCATACATCTGGTTTCATTCACCGGAAGTTCAAGGGTACTTATCTCCTGTGCCTTCTCTTGAAACTATGTTTTATAGAAGTTGACAACCATCATCATTTGTCTCTTTCTGTTTCTGTACGAATTGATTCTGACCTCAATTTAGAATCACCCATGTTCTCTGTCCTAATCTGGCTACAATCTCAACCTCTTAAGAGATAAATTGATTCTTTTCCCCATGTAGCCTTCTTTAAGTTAGATGTTCCATGTGAGAATATGTCTTGGATTTTGTTGGTAAAAGAGTTCAGTGGCCCGTTTTTAGTGATAATGAGGTAGTTGAAACAGTTTTTGGTTATACATATTTCACAGAAACTTATTTAAGAAGCTTATGTTGCTTCCTACTTATCACCAATCTGTACTTTTTTATGTCAGTTGGATCTGGCTCTGTAATTAATTTGTCTCTTGATATACTCAACTGTAGGTGGGTCTCAGGGTTCAACAAACAGTAAATGAGAGATTTGGAAAATGCTTGCTTGAATTAAGTGGAAACAATGCTATAATTGTCATGGATGATGCCGACATCCAACTTGCTGTTCGCTCTGTTCTTTTTGCTGCTGTTGGCACAGCTGGTCAGCGTTGCACTACATGCCGTAGACTGGTAATAAATATATTTGATTCTTATGGTAGTTTGCTTTATTCACATTACTCAGAATCAAAGCTCTTAACGTTGATTAACTTTTTTCTTTTCTAAATTCTTGAAATGAAGATACTTCATGAAAGTGTATATCAAACAGTACTTGACCAACTACTCAAAGTATACAAACAAGTTAAAATAGGAGATCCTTTAGAGAAAGGTACCTTGCTTGGGCCACTACATACTCGTACTTCAAGGGAGAAGTTTGAGAAGGGAATGGAGATCATCAAATCTCAGGTATGTGTTGTCTCTTGTAGCCCTTTCTTAAACTATTACCAAAAACTGAGGCACTGTCTTGTCAGCATCGTAATTTTTTTTTTCTTTGATAGTTTATTTTTGTTTGTCAATTAAAAAAAATAGAAGGAAGTAAAGTGCATTGATGCATTTGTACTCAACTTTTAGTAGATATACTAAGGCCTCGTTTGGCATGCGGGTGTTTTAGCCAAAAAGCCAAAAAGTTATTAAAAAAACCAAAAAGCCTATAACTTATACCAAAAAGTCAAAGATTCCCCTTTCTTTCTATTTTTTGCATATCTTTTCATAAAAAATCAAAAAATCATTCCAAACATACTAGTTTCTTTTATCTCATATTTTAGCCAAAAAGTTACTAAAATAACCTGTTTCTAAACGAGGCGTTAGAATTATCACCTTGATTGTTTATATTTTGCTTTGCCTCGTATCCTGATGTCAGCTTCTCCCATCTCTGGGGCAACTTCAATACCCCTCCAAAACAGTCACAAAATAGTCATTTTTATTTTTTTTATTTATCTATATTTGATTGATATATATATATACACAACTCTATTACAAGATTTAGGATTTTTTATGTTAGCAATTTGTGTAGAAAAAACATGGGTAGTTAGAATGTGTATAGATTTGAGTGTCCAAGTTTCAGAGACAATGTAAAATGTGCTCCAATCTAATCTCAAGTATGATTGCATGAGCATACTGTATTAGTCTTGGGACACAAGGTGGTGTTTTGCAAATGTCACCAAATTGATCCAGAATGACCTATGCTTAGCCATGTGATGTGACCTTATGAAAAATTATAGAAATGGGCTATTTAGGTAAAATATAAGATTCTTGCAGCACTTCCAACTGGTCCTGCAATTGTTGTTCTCCTGACTGTTTTCTGGTCAGATTTCTCAACTGTTGTGGGTGTAAAAATTCACTTCATTGAATGATATTTTGCAGGGTGGGAAGATCCTTACCGGTGGTTCAGTTATAGAGTCTGAAGGAAACTTTGTGCACCCCACAATAGTTGAAATTTCTCCAAATGCTGCTGTAGTGAAAGAAGAACTGTTTGCTCCAGTTCTTTATGTTATGAAATTTCAGGTACCATTTTGAGATGTGGGGTTCAAATTCCGTAATTGGATGAGCTGCTTGAATTTATGTTCCATTCCATGTTAGTGTCACTGGCATTCTTACAAATTTCTCATTTTGCAAACCATACTCTTTGTGCAGACTCTAAAAGAAGCTATTGAAATAAACAACTCAGTACCTCAAGGATTAAGTAGTTCTATATTCACTCGCAAACCTGAAATTCTTTTCAAATGGATTGGGTGAGTATTTTTACCTCATGGACACTAGGTTCAACTTGGTTCTATTTTGCTTGAATAACAAAAATGGTGGTATCGGAGATGCTAATTTCTCAAATAGTGGTTTATTAGGTCGATTTTGAAAATTAAGAGTCCTGTTGATTATGTAATTTTAACATCTGCTAACATAAAAACAAGTTTTTTTCCCTATAAAATTTGATGGGCTGTGAAATTCTGTTAGAAATTTTGACCCTCATATGGTATTTTTCAGACAGCCTAATGCTCTAGACTTGTGTAGTCTCTTCCATAATTGTCTTTTTGGTAGTGAATCCTCACAGGGTTTCAATTGGTGCAGGCCTCTAGGAAGTGATTGTGGTATTGTGAACGTAAATATACCAACAAATGGTGCTGAGATTGGTGGTGCTTTTGGTGGTGAAAAGGCCACAGGTGGTGGCCGTGAAGCAGGGAGCGACTCTTGGAAGCAGTACATGAGACGCTCGACTTGGTAAGTGCAATTAGCTTCTCAAGTTTAGTTGTCCTGTGTATGATTGCTGACACTAAACCTTTTCTTGGAAAGGAAAGAGAAAAGGAAAATGGCATCCTTCTTCAAATTTCCTCCTAGGGTAGTGTCTTTGTAGCTTGGATATCTGAGGGGTTATTTAGAATGATCTACATAAGTATACTTTTTGACATTTTACGAAAAAATGTGTAGAAAAGTAGAGAGGTGATGCGACCCAAACTATGAAGCATGGGTATTTCGAAAAACATGCCGTATTCGTACCGGGTACTTATCGGCATATGGTACTTCGTATGGTACTTCTTAGGAGTGGTCGCGGTTTGGATTTTGGCGGTTTGTGGATCGGTTTGGACCCACCTCACCTATGCGGTTTGGAGAAAAGTCAATCCACAACCGCCCGCAGTGCGGTTTGCGATTTGTGCAAATAGGGTTCGCGGATGTGCGGGCAGTTGCAGACGGTTTTTCAGATTGACTCTTTAAAAAATATATATTTTTGAGCCTTTTTTTTTCATTTTGTAAATATTTATTTTGGGCCATTTTCCCCTCCATTTTCTAAAATGTTCCAACATTAATAATTAATGAATTAAAACTTATAAAATTAAAAACACAACAAAATCAATTCCTAACACAAATAAATCATTCAAAATCCTAAATCAAATCATAAACTAACACAAACACATCTTTCAAAATCCTAAATTAGATCATCAATCACATTCACTAGATACTTACTACCCAACAATACAACTAAAGTGAAATCATTCAAAATCCTAAGTTTACCTAAAAGTAATTCTTCATTAGTTTTTACATTCATCCAAAATAAAATGCAATGAGAAAAAAAAAATAAAAAATAAAAGTAATTCTTTATTAATTTTTACATTCATCCAAAATAAAATGCAATAAGAAAATTTAAAAAAAAAAAAATTGTTTTCAAACTTTATTCAATTCAAATCTATAAAATAAAATAAAAACATTTGCAAGATCTCAAACTCCATCATGAATCACATCCAACTTTCAAAAATTTTAACTCCATGCATTTGGCTGATGAACGTTGCACAAAAACAAACTGAAAAATATTAATTTTAATATTCAATCTTCATAATTTCTTTGACAAAAAAAGTCTAAAAGAATAAAGTAATGAAAAGATAAACAAATGTCTATATATTGCATCTCAATATAGTAAGAAAATGTGTTGAGTATATGAAAAATTTACCAATGAGTAAATGGATTAGAGTTCAATTATAACATCAACATTATAAGTTGAACTTGAAGATGAACTTCACTCCAAAGTACCTAATTAGGAGTCAACAAGAGAAGATCAATGAAACTTACATTAGAAAATAAACAATACAAATAAAAATGAAGATAAATAAATTCTCAAATTACCCGAGTCATATTGTTCAAATTCCTTCATATTATCCATCGTCTTTCGAAGAGAAATTGGAACTTGGAAGGTTGCTTCGAAGTCAATTTTGAGTATATACAAGAGCTTCAATCATAGAAGCCCAGAGTGAACTACGAAATGGGTCAATAATATGCCCCCGGTACTAAAAGCGGACTCTGATGCAACGGTAGAAATAGGCATGGCCAACATATCCCTTGCAAGTGGCTATAACACTCTATATTTGGTTGCATTCACCTTCCAATAATTCAAAATCTCAAATGTTTGATTCTTTGCAAAATGTTCAACATCGGACAAATATTTTTCCTACCCCGACTTAATCCACTAGTGCATCGTCCCTCCAAATAGGAATTAAATTGGGAGTCAACCAAAGAATAGAGATCATCATCTTCCACCATATTCATAACTTCACTCACACTTGGAAGTTTTTCATTTGAAGGATAAAGTATGACATAATGGCTATACAAACGACTCAAACAACTTTTGACCTTGTTTACCATATCTTCCACCTTCTTATTATTTTCCAGAAATAAATTTGAAAAGCAAAACTCCAAGTATGCCAATTTTTTAGTAGGATCAAGAACAACCGTAACGGACAATAACAAATTGATCTTACTTCCATCCCCCCAATACATGCTAAACTTTTGTTTCATAGTCTTTGCCATCGTGTTCAAAGTATCATCCTCCTTTAAAATTAATTGATTAATTTTGTTTTCAATAACAAATATTTCTTTGTAAAAAGCATTGGAAGTAACAAAGAGAGACGCTGAAAACTTCTTAGTTGTAAGATAAAATAATTTAAAAACCTCAAAAACAATCTACATTTTTTCCAATCCAACTCATTCGGACTTCTCCTTATGCCACCATCAACATCCTTAAAATAAGTTTCAAAATTGGAACATCCTTAAAATAAGTTTCAAAATTGGAATTCACAAACTTCAAGCAGTTAAAAGCTTTCTCATACTTTTCGGCCGCCTCCAACATCAAAAAGGTAGAGTTCCACATAGTTGGTACATCTAGGCATACAAGAGCTTTTGAATCAAGTTTGAGTGTGGCCGCACGCTTCTTAAAAACATCATCCCTATGAGGAGAAGACCTTACATATTTCACCGCAAGTCTAATGTTGGCAATAAAATCGATCATTTCTTTCAACCCATCACTCACAACGAGATTAAGAACACGTGCACAACAACGCATGTGAATAAACTCATGTTGCAAAATAGTCCCCTTTCAATCTTTGATTATCGTTTTCAAATATTGAATGGTAAGACTATTAGAACTAGCATTATCAACTGTTAAGGTGAATATGCTATTAATGTTCTACTCAATCAAACACGACTCAATTTTCCTACCCAATATTTCTCCTTTGTGATCTTCAACTTGTTGAAAATTTATGATTCTTTTTTGAAGTTTTCAGTTATCATTAATGAAATGAGTAGTGAAACACATATAACACAAATTCTGAATAGATGTCCAACTGTCTATAGTAAAGCAAATTCTACGACCCTTAATGGCATTCTTTGACTTATCCCTTTCATTCTTGAATATGTTGAGCACTTCTCTAGATATGGTATGACGTGAGGGAATTGGTGTGAATTTGGATTGCATGACATTACAAAATCTTCTAAACCCAACTCCCTCTACAAATCTAAATGACAACTCATCAATGACAACCATCTCCACAAGAGACCTTTTACAAGCATCAAAATGAAAAGTTGTTGCTACAACCCTAACACCCTCTTTATTTTGTTTCGGTTTAAGATTTAATATTTGTTGACCATTTGTATCCTTATTTGGATATTCTTTACAATTGGGTGTATGACTTTTCAAATTGGTATTCTCATGAAGTTTAGAGTCAGCCAAATCAGTGTTTTTAAAGGCTCAAGACGCACTAAGGCGCTGAAGGTCTCTCGGGCCTAGGTGCAAGGCGAAGCGCGGGCTTTATTGAAGTAAGGCACACAGTCTTCGTAAAAAATAGAAAAATTAGCATAGACTAATCATTCATAGTATTAAGACAATTTTTAAAAAAATAAAAAGTAATCAAGATTCAAGACAAAATATAAAATAATTCTCAAAGCCATGAAAGTGCATATTACATAACATTTCAATTTTCAAAGATTAAATAATTCACATTCAATAAAATAAAAATAAAAACATAAACACTAAACATCCAAAACATAAATATCCAACAAATACTAATATACGTCTTAACATTTAAAAACATCAATATCAAAAGAAAGGGTAGGTTGGGTCGGTGTCAGTCAATCATCATCCTCAACATCAATGGCAACATTTTCTTCTCCATCAGTTGATTTATATCCCTCAACATCTTCCTCTTCTATGTCATCTGAGCCCGCTTCCTCTTCATCTATTAATTGAAGTGGAGTCAATTTTGATGATTTAGATATCATCGGTTGTGCCTTTGAGCGTGAACTTGTTGCTCTACTTGCATGGCTACTTTCTTCTACTCCAGAAGCTCTAGCAACAGTGGCCCACATCAAGCCGTCATCATCATCATCAAACACAGGCTCATTATCTTCATCTGATTCTCCATCCATTCTCCCAAGCAACCACTCATTGCTTTCATTAATATTTTGCAAAGATATGGGATCAAGAGTGTTGCGCATGTCATACCTAAATCTCAATGTTTTATTGTATTTGACAAACACTAAATCATTGAGACGTTGTTCCAATCTATTTCTTTTCTTGCTATGAAGTTGCAAGTATTAAAAAGATATTAAATTCTATATAATGAGAATAAAAAATATTTGAATTGAACAAAAAATTAGTTAGAATGTTAAATACTCACATGTTCGAATACACTCAAATTTCGTTCACAACCCGATGAACTACATGTTAGGCTAAGGACTTTTATGGCAGAAGTTTGCAAGTTTGGAGTATAAGAACCATATGATGCCCACCAATCAGCCGTGATAATCCACTAGTTAGAAATAACTGTTACCAAGTATTGAGTTTTACTAAAAGTATTACTAAAAATAAACTCTATGAGTCTATAATATATTACCTGGTACTCTTGTATTGCTTTGCTTAATCGCAACAGACTTGCCAAAAAGACTTTCAGCCTTCATATAAATACTTATCTCATTAATGATCAAATCTTGAACAGTGACATCTGGGACCAACCTTTGCATGCATTCATAATACCCATTCATCACTTCATGATCTTTTTGCACCTCTAACGCTTTTGGGTAAAAGAATTCTGGGTTAAGAAAATGCGCAGCTGCATGTAAAGGCCGATGCAATTGGACATTCCATCTTTTGTCGATGATTTCGAATATTTCATTATACTTCTCTTCTTTATGATCAAATGAACTTGCAATGCATTCTTTTGCCCTATCCATTGCCTCATAAATGTATCCCATGGGAGGTTTCTTCTCGGTATCAACCAATCTAAGCACTTTGACAAGAGGACCTGAGACCTTAAGGGCAAACACAACAGTATTCCAAAATGAAGGCATCAACAAAGTTTGTGCCATTCTTTTACCCTGTGACTCCTTTACCCATTTGCTTGAGGTCCAGTCTTCAGAGGTGACCATCTTTCTCAAATTGTTTTTTTGTTTATACATCCTAGACAAAGTCAAAAAGGCGTTTGCAAATCTAGTTTTTGCAGGCTTGATCAAATTCTTCAAATTTGTATAGCGCCTCATCATGTTTAGCAACGTAAGCCGATTGTAAATGTAGCCATGTACTGCAATACCTCTTTCAAATGTCTTTTTCAATCTAGGTATCTTGAAAATATCTTCTAACATCAAGTCCAAACAATGAGCAGCACATGGTGTCCAATACAAGTGTTCATACTTAGCTTCCAAAAACCTCCCTATAATGTAACAATAACGAAGAATTATTATTTTCAAGTTTTTAAATTTTAAATACAAAACAAACTATAAATAAACAATTTTGATGTAAGAAATGAGGAAATATTCTTATCCGCCAACACATTAGCTGCAGCACTATCAGTGATAACGTGCACCACATTCTCTTTTCCAACTTTCTCCACAAACTTGTCTAGTAATTTAAATAGCTTTTGCCCATCCTTTGAATAGCTAGAAGCATCAACCGATTCAATAAACATGGTTCCTCTTGGACAATTAACTAAAAAGTTAATCAATGTCCTTCCTCTCTTATCAGTCCAACCATCAGCCATTATGGAACACCCGTATTTCGCACAATCCTCTTTATGATTCTTCATCAAATATTCAGTATGTTTCACTTCTTTTTTGAGTTGGGTAACCCGCACTTCATGGTAAGTCGGTGGCTTCATACCAGGACCATATTGGCCAATGGCTTTAATCATTGGGTCCAAAACTCTCATAATTTACTGCATTAAAAGGAATACTAGCATCATACATCCACCTTGCAAATCTTTGCACTGCCCGAGCTCTCATTTTTTTTTTGTAATGGTCATTTGCATCAATTTTGATTTGTTTTCCTTTTGCTTTGTCTCTTTGATTTTTCACCACTAATTCAGGATTGGGTGTGAAGTAAACATTCATAGGCCCTTTTCTCTTTGGCATTTTTTATTTGGATTTGTATTTGGATTTGGATGAACCTTGGCTACTACTTGTCAACTTACGGTGTTGATTGACATTGATCTCAACGACATCTTCATCTTCATCTTCCATGTCCATGTCATCAAAATCAGGCAACATGTTCATTTCTTCTTTTTGTGTCTTTTTTTTTTTGCATGAACTCTCTAATCTCTTCTCTTACATGAGAATGACACTTCGGGCAAGCAGTGACATTCCTATAACCTCCCACAAGGTGTTGTTTCACCCGATAAACACTTCCATTTGATACTTTACCACAAAAATTAGACTCGAACTTGTTTAAATTGTTCCCCTCTACCAAATGGGCATATTGCCACGCCGGATCTTTTCTATTACTTTCCCATGTCATTTTCTACACAACAAATTTAATAAATGGAAAAATAATTGTATTAAAAGAATAAATGGAAAACAAATTTAATCCCTAACAGATAAAGGAAAAAAAAAAGACCAATACCACATTGTATTAATTAATTATATGTGAATAATTAATTATTTGTAATTTTTTTTTCCGTAACAGATAAAAGAAAAAAAATATCAATAGCATATTATAAATAATTAATTATTTGTGAATAATTAATTATTTGTATTTTTTTTTCCCTATCAGATAAAGAAAAAAAAAGATCAATATCATATTACAAATAATTAACATATTACAAATAATTAATTATTTGTGAATAATTAATTATTTGTATTTTTTTTCCCTAACAGATAAATTCTTCTCTTACATATTACAAATAATTTTTTTTTCAATAGCATATTACAAATAATTTTTTTTTCCCCTAATTTTTGTAATTTTTTTTGTAAATTCTTCTCTTACATTTTTTTCCAGAGACTTAACTCAAATAATTGAAAAAAAAAGAAAAGAAAAAGAAGCAGCAAAACAGAACACTGAAGAAGGAGAGAAAGGAAGAGTCAAAAGCAAAACAGAGCACTGACGAAGTCGAAGCCCCTCCCCAAAAAAAAAGCAGAACTGAAAGTCAAAGACGAAGAAGAAGGAGAAGGGGAGAGAGAGTCGAAGTCGAACAGACCTGCGAAGCCGAAGTCAAAGTCCAGTGTCGCTGTCGCTGTCGCTGTCGCAGTCGAAGTCCAGCTCCAACGTCTAAGTCGAAGTCGATTGCGAGGCGAAAGAGGAAGACACGACTTCGATTAGGGTTCATCTGAGTCGTATTTGGCTCATATGGTACATGAGTTGTAATCCTCTGTGATTACGAGCCATTCGAACACACCCCTACAACCGTTAGATCAGATCTACCTCTTAAACAATCAGTCGCGCCTAGGCGAGAGCCTTGCGCCTCTCTTGCCTAGTTCAAGTCGCTGCTAAGGCGCGCGCCTAACTAAAAGCGCCTCGCCTGGTACCTGTTTAGTCGCAGGCAGTGTGCCTCGCCTCGCCTCGCCTTGCACCTAGGCGCGCTTTTCACAACACTGAGCCAAATACTCTTTCTTGCAATATTTTCATACGGTTCTACGTTTTCCATCGTCCCTATAACCTTATCAGAATGATCCCAAACTGTGGATGGTGTTATCCCTCCTCCGCCCTCACTTTCTCTTTAGGGGTCTAGGAGGCTTAGGTTTGGGTTCAGCTAAAGGGGGATTCATTTGAAAATTAGAGGATTCTGGAGGTAAAAGATTGATTGCGGGAGATTCAACACTATCCTCCATTTAAACTGGATTACAAAAATTAGAGTGAAAATTAAATAAGAAGTAAATGATAAATATAAATAAAAAAGTAACCAATAGATTCAATGTTCTGTACAAGTCTACAAAGAATCTAAACAAATTCAATTTCAGATTCAATTGAATAGAATCTAAACAGATCTAATTAAAATTCAATAACAGATTCGTAAAATTGCCGGAGAATGTTCAATAACAAATTCAATAACAGATTCAATGTTCTGTACAAGTCTATAAAGAATCTAAACAGATTCAATTTCAGATGCAGTTAAACAAAATCTAAACAGATTCAATTTCCCCCAAGTACAAAGATCAAACCCACCCACCACATCACCCTCTAAATAAAATTCAATAATAGAAAACTCTCCAAAAAAAAATTAAAAAAAACAAAAAATCAGAGATTGCCTAAAAAATTAAATTTCAGATTCAGGCCTCGTTTGACAAGTGGCTTTTTAGCCAAAAAGCCAACAACCCATACCAAAAAGTCAAAGATTTTCTTTTCTCTCTACTTTTTACACATCTTTTCGTAAAAAGTCATCCCAAACATACTAGTTTTTTTAGCTCATATTTTAGCCAAATAACCAAAAAGTTACTAAATTAGTCTGTTCCCAAACGAGGCCTCAATTAAACAGAATGTAAACAGATTCAATTTATGTACAAGTTTATGAAGAATCTAAATTGATTCAATTAAACAGAATCTAAACAGATTCAATTAAAATTCAATAACAAATTCATAAAATTGCTGGAGATAGGTTCCTTTGCTAGACATCTAATTGCATAAAAAATAAATACTCAAATCAACTCAGAGATCTATTGCTACATGCTACATATCTGGTTGCATAAAAAAAAATAAAAATTAAGAGACTGAGGAGAGAGATAGACAGACAAATCTGATTGCCTTAAAAAAACATCAAAGATCGGGGAGTGAGACAGAGACAGAGACAGAGAAACGCTTACCTGAGAGTTGTCGGAGAGAGAGTCAATCTTGCGAAGGTCGATCGGTCGCTCCACTAGTCGCCACACAAGAGAGAGAGAGAGAGAGAGAGAGAGAGAGAAAGAAGAACGAGAGTGAGTGAGATTAGAAGAGAGGCTGCGCACGGAGAGAGAGAGAGAGATCTGATTGCTTAAAAAAAATCACAAATTGGGAAGAGAGAGACAGAGACAAAAACAGAGAGACGCTTACCTGAGAGTTGTCGGAGAGAGAGTCGATCTTGCGAAGGTCGATCGGTGCGAGCTGCTCTTAGATGTTTTGAGAGATCAGGGTTTCGATTGGTTTGTACTTTGGCTGGGCAAAAATATCTACATAGATGGAATATAGATGAACGGTCCAGGTTATTTCAAAAAAAAAGTGTGGGCGGGTTGTGGTGGGTGCGGGTCAAACCCACAACCCGAAAAATTGATAAATTTCAAACCGCATCAGACCTTATTGTGTTTGCGAAACCGCCCATACGTGTATGGGTTGTGCGGGTCGGATAACCCGATGTTCAGCCCTTGTACTTCTACATACGTACCGGATCAAGTACATGAAATACGTACCCGAACTTTTTCTTTTTAATTTTTGGCGTACCCAGACGTACCTAGCATATACCCAAGCTGTATTGTACATCAGTTGAAACAATTTTTTCTTCTACTACAGATATAAAACTCCTTTCACTAGTTTTTTTTTTTTTTTTTTTTTTAAATTTTATGCTTAGCCTGATTTTAAAATTAAACTATTGTTTGTAAGTTATTTAATATATTGACATTTAATTTTTTTATTTATACTTTTACTTTTAGCATTAAATGTTATAGGTTGGATCTTAACAAATTAAACCATTTAATTAATTTTTGTATTATTCTAAATTAAAAAAAAAAAAAATTTACAAGCGTACCCAGCTGTTCTCGTACCCTATTTTTTTTTAGATTTTACCTTATTGACGTACCCTTATCATATCAGTACCAGTACTTGTACCTGTACCCATGCTTCATAGGATCCAAATAAGTGCATTTATCTAAATAAGTGTACTTATATCAATCATACCAAACAATCCCTAAATTTCATTAGAACAAATTGTATCTGTTTTTTGTGCTGACCTGGCCATTATATTCCTTGTAGCACAATCAATTATGGGAGTGAATTACCATTGGCACAAGGAATCAGCTTCGGTTAGCCCCTTCGACTTCTGATAATGTATGTTGGTAATTATTTATAATATTGTAGTTTTTTCTTCTATGTATTTTTGGTGCTCATGGTGGATTTCTATTTTTACATGTAGAATCACAAGATTGCAATTGCCAACTTCAACGGTTTGAGCTGATAGGAGAGCTTTGTCAGGTTGGGTATGATTCTGATTGTAGTACCCTGTACCAAAATAAAAAAAATGCAAAAAATTAATAAAGAAAACAATTTATATTGTCATTTTGTGTGGTCCTTGTTCATTCTTGTTGGGGAGCTTTCTGTTTAATTGCAACTTGTTGAACAGTCCTTACTCTTTAATTACCTGTTGCTTGTTCTATACCCGTGTCCATGGGGACAAATTATGGCATAGGAGAGCTTTGTCAGGCTGGGTATGATTCTGATTGTAGTACCCTGTACCAAAATAAAAAAAATGCGAAAGATTAATAAAGAAAACAATTTATATTGTCATTTTGTGTGGTCCTTGTTCATTCTTGTTGGGGAGCTTTCTGTTTAATTGCATCTTGTTGAACAGTCCTCACTCTTTAATTACCTGTTGCTTGTTCTATACCGAGTCCATGGGGCAAATTATGGCATCAAGGGGTGAAGAGATTCCAGTTCAGTGCCGTTTAGTGCGTAAGGCCTAGAACCCTAGTGCACACAAATTGGGGTGGGGTGCTTGGGGTGGAGTGGGTCATATAGAAGTTTCTAAAGTTATGAATGCCGATGAGAGTGTGTGTATATATATTTTGCTTAGTTGTAATGTGTTAAAAGTATGAAAAATATTAGAAACTGTCTTACTTAAGTATAAATAAATATTATGAGAATATAATCTACTATAATAAGTTAGTTGTTTTTATTTTGGTTTTTTTGAGATTTGTATGTTTTTTTCTATCTTTGTTGGGAGCGAATTTTTTCCACGACGAGAGTTAGTTTCTTACAAGTTTCTTACTTTGGAGTACGGAATCAAGTTTCTGAACAAAAAATGTCACCTCAGTAGGAGTTTCTGTCATGAGCATCCCGTGCGTAATGTTAGACATGAGCAAGCAAGACTAGTATCCTTGTGACCATTTCGTATTTGCTTTTGTTCTGTAACAGTCCTGTGGATCAGGGATTGAATGCCATGGTTTGAAACCAAGTACTTGAATTGGATCAAAAACAGGACATGGCTTTTAGAGGAAATGTTTGCAGAAACTTAAATTATGGAGCTGAAGCCTCAGCTAGGCCATCTCCCTTCTAGTATTTGCCCAGCCCCATAGATCAGTGTGAGTGATGAAAGCTGAGTACTAGATAGATGGAGGGATCCTTCTGAAAAATATGGTAGGAGAGAGAGGGATGACATCCATGCATGGAGAGAAAGGTGGGCCAACTTACTTGAATCAGATGCCAGTGTGAGGACAAAGGAATTGGTAACTTTCCATGTTTTGGCCCTACAATTTGGAGGTGAGTGGTGCTAAAAATTTTGGAGGTGAAAACAGTTGCTTTTGTCTCAATTTGAGATTGTCTTCGTCTGAAAATCAATCTTACTTTCCCTCAAAAGTAAACATCTCAATTAATTTTTTTAACTTTAGCCACCAAACTACGAGACTCTTGTGGTGATTCTGCCGGAGATAATGGAATCAGTCAAATATCCTATCAATTACGAGTATGCCCTATTCTCAACCTAGTTTAGCATGCTATAATGCATAGGAGAGATACACCGGAGTAGAGAACCCCCCAACTAAGCTGAGGAAGTCCAACCATGTGGTGGTGATTGGAAATTTTGTTTTGAGGGAGGAGGACTGAACTCCTTGGAGATTGTCCCAATCGATAGGAGTTACGTCTATATGACGAGCATGTATAGAGACTGGGATGTGAATGGACGATGGAAGAGATGAAGTGGCATCCACGTGGCTTACCACAGAGTCTACGTCATAGACGGGGACATCTATAGACTGGGATGTGAATGGTCGATGGAAGAGATGAAGTGGCATCCACATGGCTTGTCACATAAGCACGGGCCTATGTATCTATAGTAACGTGTCGGCAACAATCTCTATATAATAAGTTTTCTTTCTTTGATTAAGAGATTGAGAGACAAGAAGGAGGCCAAGTTGAATAGTTAGTCATTGTGGGGGGTTTGTGATTGAATTTTCCTTGAAGTTACTAAAAATATTGATTTTAATGAAACTGAGGGGGTTTTGCCCATTTTAAATCTAATTTTCTTTTTAAATTTTTTCTTTTAAAGTTTTGTGAAGTTACTTGATTAACAAGGGAGAGAAGTGGATATTCTCACCAGCTTGGTTGATATAGACACTATTAGAAAAATTTAACAAAATTAATGATATACAAACATATTTTTTTAATATAGAATTATGTAATTTTTTTGTGATCTTTTCATTTATGATCAAAACACTCGTTATTCTGCTCATAATTCCGAGATTATGATTAACATGCTATTTTTGAAATTTTTTTTATTTTGTTGGTATAAATTTTATGTTTAGAAATTATTTTTCTTAAAATGGTCATTGATTATATAAATTAAATAGCATCTAAACCAACTTGTTGAAGTTGAAGGTTCGAAGGCGTTTACTTTCTTGCATTTTCCTTGAAAAGTTGTTTTTACCTAATCTAGTAATAAATAAATGCCATTAGTGTGCCCCACATTTGATGTGGCTGATTACTATTCACTTGATAATTTATATGGAAAACAAACAGCAATGACTCGCTCTCTTTTGTCATTTTCTGTATGTCAAGTCAATGCATTCTAATGCGTCACATGTCTCCAATCACACCAACGAATTGCAAAATTGTGAAATCTAGAAAAGTGGTTTCTTTTTTTTTTTTTTTAATATTTTTAATGGAAATGCATGAGACCCCAGTGGGGTGCTGGGGTCATGCCTGATTGGTCAAAAAAAAAAAAAAATAGTTTTTCCTTTTTTTTTTGTTTTCATCCATTGCCAGTCCTGCACGTGGAGGGGGATGCTGGGATGCTTTCCTGCTGCGGGTCTCTGGACTCTATTTTTAATTGGGACAAAATTAAGGCTCGGTTTGATAAACTTCTTAAATTATAATTTTACTCATTGATTTAAATGTGATATTTGTTTTGAACTTTTAAATCATAATTTTACATCTATTTCTTAAAATTTAATTCAAAACATAATTATTATTTTTCAAAATTCATAATCAAACACATAATTTAAAATTTTTTTCAGAACTCAATTCAAATCAGTATTTTAATTTTTTAAAATATTTTTAATATTTAAATAGTTTAAAAATATTTTAATTTTGTTAAGGTTTTAAATATTTAAATATGTTACGATTTTTTAAATTTTTGAATTTTTTGAATATTTTTAAATATTACGATTTTAATTTTTTGAATTTTAAAATATGTTATAAAAATAAATTCAAACTCTATTTTATAAAAATATTTTTAAATATTTTAATTTTTTTGTTATGTATTTGGTTACGATTTGAGTGTAGAGTTGTGAAAGTAGTATGGAGTTTCGAGTTATGTGTTTAGTTATGAGCTTTAAAAATAATTTTTTAATTGAGTTTTGTTTTATGTGTTTGGTTACAATTTGAGTGTAGAGTTGTTTTTAAATTTAAAATATTAAAATTTAAAATTATTTAAATTTTTTGAATATTTAAATTATTTAAATTTTTACGATTTAAATTTTTTGAATATTTATTTTAATTTAATAATAAATTTTTTTAATTGAATTTTAAAAAGAGTTTGGTTATGAGTGTTAATCAGAATTTTCAATAGTGTGAAAGTAGTGTGTTTTGTTATGAGTTATAACAATTTGAATTAAGTTTTAAAAACTCTTTTTAAAACTCATAACCAAACAAATTTTCTTACTTCACATGTCAAATCAAACTTTCAAAACTCAATTCCACATACAATTCAAAGCTCAATTCAATGTTTTATTCAAAAATTATAACCAAACAAATTTTTTACACTCAAATCATAATTCCACAACTTACAAACTTAAAATACAACTTATACTCTTAAATTATATTGATAAAATTCTACCAAACACAAGTCATTTTGTGATTTGAGTCATTTACGTTTTACCCCTACACTTAAATAACAAAATACAATGTTGACACTGTTATGGAAGGAAAAGGAGGTGGGAAATGCTGCTACAAGTGTGGGAAAGAGAAGTGGTAGGGAAGGGAGAGGAGGCTACGAAAAGGCGATGGATGTGTCGATGGAGAGAAGGGGATGGCAGCAGCGATTGTATGCCAAGGACCGTAGATGGGCAATAGGAGTGGTGGAAGGGATGGGAGGTGGCAATGACGGTGGCTAATAGGTTAGATTTAGGGTTTAAGATTGGAAAAGATGAGGGTATTTTAGTATTATTAAAAAATTAATTATATGAATTGGAAAAAAAAAATCAATAAATATTATTTTGCTCTTAAGATTATTAATAAATTTTATCAAGTTTCAATATGGATAACTAAGTCTTATTTGTGATAAAAGATTTCCAAAACATTCATTGCTCCATGATGGTATGTCTTATCTCAATTTTACCTTTCCTATTTAATATGAACAATAATGTTATAAATAATTTTAGCTTGATTAAAACTTGAAATTTTAATTGTAAAAATGATTAATCTTATAGTTATAATTTTGTTTATGAAAAATCATTTAATTTAAACAATCAAAAATAATTTAATTATAAAATTTCTGATAAATTAAAATTGCTTATGAAACTTTTTGTGTCAATTGTAATGAAAAAGATAAAATGAAAATAAAATATACTATGAACAATTGAATTTTTTTTTATAACAATTTATAATTAAAAAAATAAGATTTGTTTGTTAATATTGAAACTTGATATAATTCAATAATAATTTTCAAAATGAAATAGAACTTATTGATAATATTTTCATTGTGATTTATGATTTTTTTTAAAATAATTTTCGAAACCAAATATTATTTTATTAAAAATATTTATAAAATTGTTGTTCATATAATGAGGGATAAAATTGAGATAATATCAGCAATGAATTTTTTGGAAATATATTATAAAAAATAGAACTTAGCCTACGTTTGGGAAGTGGGTTGACTTTTTGGCTTTTTGGCTTTTTTGGCTATTTTAGCCTGGGCTAAAAAGCTTGGTTTGGGAAGGGCTTTTTGGCTTTTTGGCTTTTTTGAATTTTTTTGTGAGAGAAGAGTGTAATGATTATGGGTTGGATGTGATGTTTTTTTTTGTGGCTAAAATAGCCTATTTTGTCTTTTGTGGCTAAAATAGCCAAAAAAGCCCCAAAATTTTCTTCCCAAACGTAGGCTTAATTGTCTATATTAAAATTTGATAGGATTTGATAGTAATTTTAAGAGCAATTTATGACTTATTGGTTATTTTTTCAAAAAAAAATAAAAATAAATTAAATACAGTATGAACTTAGATAACAGTCAAACTGTGTAAATAGAAGCACTTTTTTTTTATTTTTTTCCTCAAAGTTGGAGTTTATTGATTGACAAA